AAAAGATACCAACTTATTTCTGTACAGTCGTCTCAAGAGTCTCATTCTTTGTGAATAACCATGCATCTTCATATATTAGATATTATATAAAATATCTAATAATTAATTACAATAAAGTTTCTTCTCCCATATTTCTTACATCAAACTAAAGCTTCCAGATATTCTTAAAGGGACTGTAAGCGTAATATCAAGGTACCCACTATGCAAAGATAAAAGGGACTGTAAGCATAATATCAAGGTACCCACTATGCAAAGATTAAAGGGACTGTAAGCGTAATATCAAGGTACCCACTATGCAAAGATTAAAGGGACTGTAAGCGTAATATCAAGGTACCCACTATGCAAAGATTAAAGGGACTGTAAGCATAATATCAAGGCACCCACTATGCAAAGATTAAAGGGACTGTAAGCGTAATATCAAGGTACCCACTATGCAAAGATTAAAGGGACTGTAAGCGTAATATCAAGGTACTACACTACGCAAAGATTAAAGGGACTGTAAGCGTAATATCAAGGTACCCACTACGTAAAGAGGGCAAATTCCATTTACAACGGTACAATTCAAACATTTATCTGTTCCACAATGGGAAATATAGTTTGGTTTTCTAGACTTAAAAGTGTTTATTTCTGATAATTTTTATTTGTAATCTTGCAGTATAAAATATAAATGTGTAAGTCACTTTTGAAAATAATCAGTTTTTAGGATTAAGAACATTGATATCTAATTCATGCTTGACAAAGTCTTAAAGGGTACCGTTCTGAATCAGCCATTGTCATCTTTGCATGGAGGGTCACTTGAAATTACTCTTACATTGTCTCTAAGAGCTGAGAATCCTTTACGTTTCTGTCGTATGTACCATGAAAACCAGAAAACCAGATATCTTTTAAAACAATTTAACATTAAAAAGTCCAATGAGCATTAAACACAGCAATTGCGGAGTGTAAACAGATTCGTTTCAGCGAATTAGTGACTTAATATATTAAAAATATATTTATATTTATATATACTAAATATTAAGTGTCAAGTATACTCTTTTCTTAAAAAAAACAAATAGACTGAAGTATTTTTATAATGGCGTCTTCTTATTCCATTGTTTTCTGGTTATCACTGTACATTACGATTGGACGTAAACTGCAGAATTATCTGAAATAATTCTCTATGATTTTGTTCCCCAGTATTGATAATGACAATTCTAAAATATTAAGACTTTATATTTGAAAATATGTCTGCCATGTTGTTATTGTTGAGGTATACTCATACATCTTGTCTATCCAGCATATTGGATTCAAGTCCCTTGGGGGTAATCCTCCTTTTATACCTATACAATCATAATCATACTGGATACTACACAGATACATTAGACACTAGACAGATAAACTAGATACTAGACAGATATACTAAATACTAGACAGATATAATAGACACTAGACAAATAAACTAGATACTAGACAGATAAAGTAGATACTAGACAGATAAACTATGTACTAGACAGATAAATAGATACTAGACAGATACACTAGACACAATACAGATAAACTAGATATTAGTCAGATATATTAGACACTAGACAGATATACTAGATACTAGACAGCTAAAGTAGACACTAGACAGCTAAACTGATACTAGACAGCTATACAAGATACTAGACAGCTAAACTAGAAACTAGACAGATAAACTAGATACTAGACAAATAAACTAGTTACTAGAAAGATAAACTAGATACTAGACAGATAAACTAGATACAAGACAGCTTTACAAGATACTAGACAGATAGAATAGATAAAAGTCAAATTAACTAGATACCAGAGAGATAAACTAGATACTAGACAGATAAACTAGATACTAGACAGATAAACTAGATACTAGACAGATAAACTAGATACTAGACAGATAAAATAAATACTAGACAGATAAACTAATTATTAGACAGATAAACTAGACACTGGACAAATAAACTAGATACTAGACGGATAAACTAGAAACTAGACAGATAAACTATGTACTAGACAGATAAACTAGATACTAGACAGATAAACTAGATAATAGACAGATAAACAAGATACTGGACAGAGAAATGAAATACTACACAGATAAATTAGATAATAGACAGATAAACTAGATATTAGAAAAATAAACTAAATACTTGACAGATAAATTAGATAATAGACAGGTAAACTAGATATTAGACAGATAAACTAGATACTAGACAGATAAACTAGATACTGGACAGCTTTACAAGATACTAGACAGATAAATTAGATAATAGACAAATTAACTAGATACCAGAAAGATAAACTAGATACTAGACAGATAAACTAGATACTAGTCAGATAAACTAGACACTAGACAGATAAACTAGATACTAGACAGATAAACTATGTACTGGATAGATAAACTAGATACTAGACAGATAAACTAGATACTAGACAGATAAACAAGATACTGGACAGAGAAATAAAATACTAGACAGATAAATTAGATAATAGACAGATAAACTAGATATTAGACAAATAAACTAAATACTTGACAGATAAATTAGATGATAGACAGATAAACCTGATATTAGACAGATAAACTAGATATTAGACAGATGAAATAGATACTAGACAGATAAACATGACACTAGACAGATAAACTGGATACTAGACAGATAAACTAATCAGTTCAGTTCTAATTAATACCACAGTAAACTGCCAGGAGACCAACCTGAAAACAACCCTGCCATGGCTGCTCTTTTTCCGTAAATAATTAATAGAAATAATATAGATTAGATTAGTTGTGAACTTGTGCCTGGATTGATACAGTTCTGGACGGTTTTAAGAGTACGGCATTTACTACTCAGTACAGGGTGTACTTTAGATTCTTATAACAGTACAGGGTGTACTTTAGATTCTTATGACAGTACAGGGTGTACTACAGGGTGTCCCAATAAACATGGGAATTCAGTGACGAATTCGATATCGTCTTTGTTATGAAATAGCATTGTAATACCATATTTCAAAAGCCATAATATTATTATGTCTGCTAGAGTTTATTTTATGGAAACGGTAAATGGCTGCAAAGATGTGTCTATAATGTCTCCGCAAGATGAACAATGAAGACGGACAAGTTTACTCAGTTTGTATACTGCAATTTTCTTATTTTACTAAGTACAACCGTATGCAGTCAAAACATAAACAAACAAGATGTAAACATAGCAGACAAAAATTTTACGGATTACTAAACTAAAACAAAGAATTATTTAAAAAGACGATATCGAATTCGTCATTGAATTCCCATGTTTATTGGGACACCCTGTATAAACCCTGATAACAGTACAGGGTGTACTATAAACCCGTATAACAGTACAGGGTGTACTATAAATTCTTATAACAGTACAGTGAACTATATATACCCTTATACCAGTACAAGGTGTACCATATAGCCTTATACCAATACAGTGTGTACTAAATATATACCTTTATACCAGTACAGAGTGTACTATATATACCGATACAGGGTGTACTATATATACTTTTACACCAGTGTAGTATATACCCTTATACCAATACAGTGTGTACTATACCTTTATACCAGTACAGGGTGTACTATATATGCTCTTGTACCGTGTACTAAATACCATCATATAAGTACAGGGTGTACTTAAATTCTTATTACAGTACAGGATGTACTTATACCCTATTATATCAGTAGAGGGTGAATTTCGTCAATGTTTCTACGAGTTTTTAAAAATGTGGTCTAACTTTGTTGTATCTTTGAACTTCTTCTTCTCAAATACACTCTACTAAAAGACACATTTTCAAATATTCAAATGTCCTTATTATACATCTATATATAAACTTGGCTTGTCTGTCTGTTTGTTTGTATCCAATAAACGTCAAAACGGCTGAACCGATCGGGCCCAATTTTTTTGTGGGACATCTAGGGACCCCAGGGAAGGTTTATGAATGATCAAAATTTCAAATATTTGTCTCCATCAAAATTCGATCGTCATTAAATTTTTGAAAATTTTGAAACTCCGCGAAATTTTTTGTGAAAATCGGCGAATTATCTTTGTTTTGTTTTACGATGTACAGAAAGAGAACATGTTCACAATTAATTTAGAAGATGGGCGCGAAGCGCCCTCTAAGGCTAGTCTATATATAAATTTGGCTTGTCTGTTTGTCTGTCTGTTTGTATCCAATAAACGTCAAAACGGCTGAACCGATCGGGCCCAAATTTTTTGTGGGACATCTAGGGACTCCAGGGAAGGTTTATGAATCATCAAAATTTCAAATATTTGTCTCCATCAAAATTCGATCGTCATTAAATTTTTTAAAATTTTGAAAATCCGCGATATTTTTTGTGAAAATCCGCGAATTATTTTTTGTTTTGTTTTACGATGTACACAAAGAGAACATGTTCACAATTAATTTAGGAAATGGGCGCGAAGCTCCCTCTAAGGCTAGAAAGAAGGGCGGGAAGCGCCTTGAATTTCTAGTTATATATGAAAATGTTATTTCTCAATATTAATCATGCTGCTGAGGCGAGTGTTTAACACAAAACAGTTTGTTATAATGTAAACATAATCTGTCTTTTACTTATCAGATATTTTAAAGACAAAACGTAAAATATAGAAAATATGAAAGATGGCTGAAAAATTGCAATGCCATTGCGAAATGGCTAGTCGATTGTAGCCAGTCTCAATTTTTATAGAGACAGGCAATTTATTGATTAACCTGGTGGAGATATATCAGAAAAATTTTGATTTTGTTTAAATAATTATGTTTATTAATATCATCTATACTTCAGAGTTTACTTTGCTAATATTTTTTGAACTTCTTAAATTGCAAGATCTTAATCTAATACTTATTTATTAATCGATATTTGCGAAAAATGTGTAAAATTCAGATCCATAAAATTCTATGAATCCAGTGTTTAAATCTATTTAACTAAATAGTTAAGGAAATGAAATCTACATGACGGCTAGCTCGACATAATTTAAATAAAAATTGAAGTCTTTAAAAAAATTTATTTGAGGCTTTAATTTTTTTTCAAAAATTATGTTAAAACACATTTAATAGTTGTAATACTGAACAGAAATATCTTGCTGTCCTTTTTCAATCTTCAATTTTTTGCACAGTGTGGGGATGTTGCATTTTATGATGAGAAATACGATTTTTCCGAACAAGTCGATGTGGAGTTGGATTGGTTGGACTGTGTTCTAATGGATCAAGACTATATATATCATCCATGGTTTTATCTTTATGAGATCCAACATCAACACCAGTATTGTCGTCTTCCTCCATCTCCCCTGCGGCTGTGGGAGAATGCCGCGGAGTGGATTCCTCCGATTTACCTGGGCAATAGAAGTTAAAGAAGCTGTAGTATTATTCAAAGTGACCCCACATGCAAAGATGACAAGGCCCAATTCACCCAGAAAACGCTTTACGCCGCCCAATTGAGTATTGAACATTTTTTATCAATTGCCATCATAAAAGATTAGACATCGTTAACAATCAACTATCATTAACGATCAAAAACATTAATGCTCATTATCATTAATCCATGTAGAGAAATCGAGTAAACATAATATTCTGTAAACTTGCAGTACGTTGTACAATATTAATCATTTAATGTTTTAAACTTAGACATAATTACATTATTCATTGAAACTGTGTTTCAATTGAATACTTAACATGATTAGCTTTAATCATGGGATACTTAAATTACGCTTTAAAACAGGTGCTGAGATAGCTTAACTGGGTTATATCTATTCTCTTTAATCTTATAAATACGTACATTAAACTTTAACTGTGCAATAAATACTAATACGATGGTCTTAATCATGTAATATAGATAACATCATAGGAATTGTAACTACATCAATACCTGTTAACATTGTGACATATGGTATTAAATAAAGTTAGTATAATGTTTAATGAGTGAGAGTAGAACTGAAACCCTGAAGCTTCTATGATGATCCATCCCCTTTAATTTGGGATCAATATCTAGCTTGTGGATAGCTAGACTGAAACCCTGTTTTGATAAGCAGGTCGGATTGTCCCCATCATTTGGGATCGATATATAGCTAGGCGTGTGTCCTTGTGTGGCATTGAACCATTTAAACCCTGTGTTGATATATAACCAGGTTGGAACGTCCCCATCCATTGGGATTGATATATAGCTTGTTGGATAGCTAGGCTTGTGTCCTTGTGTCACATTAAAGCACTGAAACCCTGTGTTGATATGTATATATATATATATATGTATATATATATATATATATATATATATATAACCAGGTCGGATCGTCCCCATCATTTTGATAGCTACGCTAGTGTCCATAATTAAACTCTGGATTGCTATAACATCTTATGGTATTACCTGGGCTAACGTCCATAATTAAACTCTGGATTGTTTTACCAGCTGATGGTATTACCTGGGCTATCGTCCATTATTAAACTCTGGATTGCTATAACATCTTATGGTATTACCTGGGCTAACGTCCATAATTAAACTCTGGATTGTTTTACCAGCTGATGGTATTACCTGGGCTATCGTCCATTATTAAACTCTGGATTACTATAACATATGATGGTATTACCTGGGCTATCGTCCATGATTAAACTCTGGATTGCAAATACAGATAATGGTACTACCTGGGCTAACGTCCATAATCAAACTCTGGATTGTTTTAACAGCTGATGGGATGGATGGGACTGGGAGCTCAACAGGACCAGGCATATCAGCGTATTTGTCTGGGAACATAGAGGAGGGATCTATGTATGGATACATCTGAGGTCTAAACAAATTTAAAGTTTTACTTTGATACATGATTAATGTCAACAAAAGTAAGAACTTTTGTGTTGTGAATCTCGAGATCAAGAATTAACATCAATATTGTGCAGACCTGCGCAATCTTGTGCAGACCTGCTCAATATTGTGCAGACCTGCGCAATCTTGTACAGACCTACGCAATCTTGTGCAGACCTGCGCAATCTTGTGCAGACCTGCGCAATCTTGTATAGACCTGCGCAATCTTGTATAGACCTGCGCAATCTTGTATAGACCTGCGCAATCTTGTACAGACCTGCGCAATCGTGTATAGACCTGCGCAATCTTGCATAGACCTGCGCAATCTTGTATAGACCTGCGCAATCTTGTATAGACCTGCGCAATCTTGTATAGACCTACTCAATGCTTTAATTCCTCTTCTGTGGTGGTCGTGCCAGGAAGGATAACTTTAATTTTGGGATCAAGCATTTAAAATCAAATCACATTGGATATCGAGATCAAGTTTTCAATGTTAATAACGTGCTGAAGTTCCGATTTCTGTTCTTTAAAAGTTTTAGGAATATTTTCTTTCAAAATTAATGTAAATATTTGTGTAACCGTTAGTATTTTATTTATTTTGTGAGAAGTATTGTTTAAATGTTTAGTTTACTCCAACATACATATACTTTTTATTGATAAATATTTGCGTAGGCTGAAGTTTTTATTTGTTTTTGTGTATACTGTTACAATATTACAGACTTTAAGTTATACGCTAAAGGTAGATTTAAAAAAATAAAATTCGAATGTTTAAAGATTATAATCTCTAAGAATTTTTTAATTTAATGTATTCAACTGAACTGTTTTAAGAGGGATCAAAATAAGAGCAGAGTATGGTAAAATATTAGATGAAAACTAACTATTAATTAAATACCTATTCCTTAAATTTGAAATATTTCATCCAAAATCTTTTAATTATTCTGTTACGCGGACAAACAGAACAATTCCTTACTTTAACATTAATATAAAATATTCAAAAATTGAAACTTTTTTTGGGTTGAATAATTTTGAAACTAACTCGGAATTCCAGGCATCCCAACGCGGCCAATACCCATCAAAATACCAAATCTGCATGGCAAATAATGGCAACTTATCATTCTTTAAATTGGAATATAAACATACATTTAAATATTCTTGAAAAGTTTAAATAAAAAAATGTGATTCCTGTTTTCAAATTTTCGTTAAAAGATAAATGATTTGAAATTTGTGTTTTTCACTGAATAAATTTAATTTAAAAAAAATTATTTCTTAACTTTAATTAACACATAGATTTTGGTAATGGATTCAATATTTGAAAAACCTAAAAATCCGCTAACTTTTGAGTTTTAAAATTAAAAAGGTAAAAATGACCGCTTTAAAAGTAAATATTAAAATTGTCGCCAGCAAAAAACCGCAAAGAACCCTGAAAGCCAATATACATAACATTTGAATAATTCTTTGATTTCTTTACTTTACAAAATCCTTAAAATAATATTACTTCTCTTTTTCATCTCCAGTGATGTTACACTTGGCATCTTCAGTCTCCTCACCATGGTGATTAGCATTAGCTAAAGCGAATGGAAAGGTAGCATACTCATCATGGGCCGGATGGTCTAGTAACTGCTCAGGAGATGAGTCCGCCATTGATTTTTCAGCTGACTTAGTCGTACTTTCATTCTCAGATGTTCCACTTGGTTCAGCGTATACATCACATGGGCGTTCTTCAGTTCAATTAAAGGGACTGTCAGCGTAAATTCAAGCAACCCTCCATGCAAAGATGACAATGCCCGATTCACAACGGCACCCTTACAGCCACATCAAGTATAAACTATTTATTAATGTTTATAATTTTAAAAACTTGTTAATTTCAATTGAGGTTTCTCTAAAAAAGTGATTTGTGCATTTTTAAAGCAGGAAAGTATAGATGTGCATCGTTTTTCTGAACGAACGAAAGTTTTTTTTAAACAAACTAAATTTGATCATTGAGAGAAATTAAAAAAACTATAATTTTTAAAAACAAAACAAAAATAAACTAAAACGAAATTAAATCGATAATGATCGTTCAGTTGTTATTGACCGGCCAGCCAGAGATCGTTAATGAAAGTTTTCTAACTCGTTAAACCATTGTACATAAAACAATAATTTTTTTTCTCAGCAAACGAATTTTTTGAACGAACTTTTGAAAAAAACTGTAACAAAAATTTTCTACACCGTTTGTTCGGTCGTTCGGTTGATCGTTCATTTTTGACTAAACTTTTGTTTTAAAACAATTTTTGAAAAAAAATCGTTTTTTTACTAAATGAACAATGTTTTAACATACTTTTGAAAAATAACTATATATTGTTATATGATTGCAGGAACGATTTTACTGAATGAACAAATTAATTGAACGATGGGTCCGTCATAAAACGAATGAAAAGATTATGAAAACAAACGTATTGACATTTTTTTAATGACTAAATAAAGGAACGGAATGGGTTTTGACAAAAAAGCCGAACGTGCTTATCTCTACAGCATAGTACATTGACATTGACAATGTTAAATATTGTCAACCAAAGAAAAACAACAATCCCTTCCGCATTATCGTTCAGATAATTGTTTCAATACAATGGGACCGTTGTTCATCAGACATTGTCATTTTCGAATCGAGGGTCACAAGAAATTGCACTTGCAGTCCCTTTACTATACTCCTTGTCAGCTGGGATCTGGTTGTATTTATGGAGAGCTGGACCATCTTCAGGTACAGGGATATTATAATCCCTAGCCCTTAAACAATACAATGAAATTACAGGGATATTATGATTCCTAGCCCTTAAACAATACAATGAAATTACAGGGATATTATGATTCCTAGCCCTTAAACAATACAATGAAATTACAGGGATATTATGATCCCTAGCCCTTAAACAATACAATGAAATTACAGGGATATTATGATCCCTAGCCCTTAAACAAAACAATGAAATCACAGGGATATTATGATTCCTAGCCCTTAAAAAATACAACGAAATTAAAGGGATATTATGATTCCTAGCCCTTAAACAAAACAATGAAATTATAGTCATATTATGATTCCTAGCCCTTAAACAATACAATGAAATTACAGGCATGTTATAATTCCTAGCCCTTAAACAATACAATGGAATTACAGGGATATTATGATATTTTTCAAGCCTTAAATATTTTGTATTGAAGTGTTAAAATAAAATAAAAATAATTTCTAAACAAAAATCTCTACGGTTGAGAAATAACAAATCAAGTCAATTCGAATCTGAAAAAATGAGTCATTATTATTCTTTGTAATTTTGTTTCAAATGGGCCATCCCCGATTTGTTACTTAAACCAAAATTAAAAATCTCGATACAAAAACAACATTTTTTGGAATGATATATACTTTGGAGAAAAAAACTCAGCGGGAGCGGTTGAACCAGCGGTTGAGATCTAGCCTAGACTCTACGCAGTTCAGAATAAGAAATGCGCCTTTTTTCTCAAATTTAAAATTTGTTCAATCAATAAATTCCTGCTTTTTTCATTCATATTTTTATTCACTTTTTAAAACTTTTTAGTAGTTAAACACACTTTTTTGCTTTCAACCGCTGGGCTAAAGATTTTTCAGCAACTTTTTTCCTTTTAACTACTTGCCCAGGGTTGCTTTTAACCACCATGGAAAATAATTTTTCATGAAAGACGTTCTCTTTCCACCACTGGTTTTAAAATTTTTCGGCAACTTTTTTGCTTTTAACCGCTAGTTTCAGGATTTTTCAGAAACTTTTTTCTTTAAACCTCTGGGATGCTTTAATTCACGCTAGAAAACAGTTTTTAATGAAAAACGTTTTCTTTTAAAAACCGGTTCCAAGAATTTTCAGCACCTTTTTTCTTTTAACCGCTGAAAAACCAGCGGTTGAAAGGAAAAAAGTTGCTAAAAAGCTGAAAACGTTATTGATGAAAAATTATATTTCATTTGTTGAAAAAGTGCGATTTAGTGAGCAAATTGTAAATTTCTTCTTAATTTCTTATTCTGAACTGCGTAGAGTCTAGGCTAGATCTCAACGGCTGGTTCAACCGCTCCCGCTGAGTTTTTTTCTCCAAAGTATATATCATTCCATTTTTTGGATATCTCATTCAATTTTTCCACTTTAAGGGCTTTGATGGTAAACCAAACATGTCCACTCTCTGAATATAATTTTACATAAAATTACTTTTGCTCACGCACCTCTGCCCTTCAGTAAAAGTAAATTCAACATATATGAAGCATAAAGTCTGACCGCGTCAACCTTGTTGCACCGGCTAGTCAGCTGTCCATAGAGCTAGGTACAGTACAAACTGGGACCAGAAAGGTTGACCCGGCTCGGAAAATTTAAATGCACAACTGCACGTACGCTGTCCCTTTACAGTAATTAAATATGTCACCTGTATTTTGACCAGATGCCAGTTCCCATTTTAAACTATTTTCTGATTGTAAACTTGTCTGAAATATGTCAGATTATTGGGTTTCGAAGATACTCTAGGATTACAAAATGCTAGTTTGTGGCAAAGACTCAATTCCAAAATTGTGTTTTTTTAATCGACTACAGGGTGTCCCAGGAGACATGACAGTTGGTGAATAGTTTTAAATGTCTTCTTCCATAATTTGTTAAGTTCTTTAATACCAAAGAGAATAATAAAAAAACATCACTTCGTAGTATTATTTTAATAAAGTTGATTTCAAAGGAAATTTAGTTGAGTAAAATTTTTGTTTGCAAAATAAACTGCAAAAAGTCTTTAATATATAATACTTGATAAGGAAGAAGACCTTGTGACATTTTTAGATAAAGCTATATGATGATAAAAATGTATCCAGAATTATAACTAGAAATAACTACTAATAACTTATACATTGCCTAACTTTTGGTTTGCTTCATCAAATAACTAGAAATAACCAGTAAAATCCTCTTTGTTGCCAAAATAAACTACGTCCTAACATTCACGAAGCATAATACCCTTTCATTGTTGCTAAAAAGATTTCTAGGACTCTTCAGGCTGTATAGACACACCCTTTCTTCTGCGTAAGAGAGGCATAATTGTAATTTCTCAACCATATATAAACATTGTATTTTTCATTATACTTTACTCTGTGACTAACCTTTCTGAATAAACTATTGGATAAGTGTACGTAAAGTTTATTTTTCATATAGTCTATGAGTAGAAAAAAAGATATTAGAAATATTTGAAAATAAATACTTAGATAGAGGTCTGAATAAAATTGAATTAAAGAAAGAATAAAACTAGAAGGTCTGATCTACTACAATAAAAATTTAACATTTATAGAATCTCTTTTATACTCATAATCTATATGTAAATTTGGCTTGTCTGTCTGTTTGTTTGTTTGTCTGTCTGTTTGTTTGTATCCAATAAACGTCAAAACGGCTGAACCGATCGGGCCCAAATTTTTTGTGGGACCTCTAGGGACTCCTTTGTATCTTAAA